GGAGTTATTGAGCCATCATGTGTGGCTGCTTCGGGGATATAAGAGGAGCTGACCGCCCTGCATTCTCGTGTGCTTGATACGCTCTCGGAGGTGCGGGCGCCCTCCACGAGACATTTCTATGCTCTAAAATGGGGAGTGTTTGTGGTGCCGTGATGTTCATATCGACCCGGCTGCTTGCTGCTTGTCGGATGTTCTGCGTTTTCTACAGTACAGGCTTGATAGTGGATGTCTACCATGAATACTGGCCGCTATTGCCTCGTTTAGTTCCCCGCTGGGTGGGCAATCGATTGGTAGGCATTAGCTGGAGGTGAGTGTTCTTAAGGGGGTGAGGAGGTTGCATTCCCCGTGTCCGCCTTCAGTTTTGCCCTAGGACCTAGAGGTGGTGTTAAGAGCTCTTTCACAACCACCATTCCAGCCTTTAGCATCCATTGCTATGAAGGAGCTATCTCTCAAACTGCACTTCTTCTTGCCCTCGCTTCGACTAAGCAAATAGGGGATTTACATGCGTTTTCTGTGGACAGTGATTATATTCGCTTCGGACCAGGTGACTGCAGCGTCACTCTCCGGCCGAGACCGAGCTAACTTACATGCCTAAATCACTATCTACCCCCTTCAGAGCGCAGACTATTTCGCTGTCTGCCCTGTCTTCTGAGTCACGACCTCGTGTGATGCGGACGCTCAGATTTCGGTGTGCCCCGTCAGGGCTTTGAGGATTTTCATTGACCGTTCGGCCAGCTTTCGGCAATCTGACCAGCTTTTCGTGTGCTACGGTGGTTGTGCGAAGTGCCTGGCCGTGTCAAAAAGGAGGCTTTTCCACTGGGTTGTGGACACTAACACGGCTGTTATACGAGCCAAGGTTTGGAATGTCCTTTGCACATTAGGGCCCACTCAACAAGAGCTATCGCCGCCTCCTGGTCGTGGTCAAGAGGTATGTCTATTCAGGATATATGCTTTGCAGCCGGCTGGTCTTCTCAGAATACCTTTGCCAGGTTTTACAAGCTGGACGCTCAGTCCTTAGCCTCCCAAGTGCTGCCGGTGAGTGACTGATTCACGTTTATTGTACCTCTATTCATGTGTGTTTGCTGCCTCGCACAGTAATTACTCTGTGCAGCCCTATATGCTATTGTTGCTGTTGTCTGCCCTGTACTCAGTGCAGCTCCTGCTATTCAGTGTCTAATTCGATTGGTGTACCATCATCATCTTATGTGTTATGCTGCTGCTTAACACCGTTATCCCCCCCCCCCCTCACAATACTGTGGTTGTTGTAGCTTCTACCCTGTTTCTCAGCGCAGCATACGTTATCACTGACCAGATATGCAAATTTCGTATACCTGGGCTTTAGACGCTCTCAATTCCCTGAGAGCGGGAACGAGACTTCACGGAGGTCGCCGTGTTCGCTGCTTGACCAGCTAAGCGGCGTTCAGTATCAGATTCTGACGTAATTGTCACGTGCACCGCATTTTATACTGCCTCTCGAGTGCGTCAGTATTTGCATGCGATTTGCATACTTTGCGACAATCGGCCAGTCATGTGGACTGGCGTGAGCCAATATGACTTCAGGAAAGGTTGGAAGGGAAGGAGTTCCCATAACGGAGAAATTATTGTCTCCGTGATGTCTCGTTCCCACTCTCAGGGAACCGAGGTTACGATAGTAACCGGAGATAATTTACCTGATCAGAAACGCTTTCTTCCAAAACATCAGTAAAATGCCTACAAAAGTCCCATATTTAGTGAGTAAACCGTCATTGGACTATCATATCCATTGGGTATGTGCAGTGTCACAGTGTAAACCTACCGCCCCACACCTCCGTTCAAAGCTCTGTTTGTAAATCACATCACAGGAAAGCAGTTGACCTGGCAAAGGCTCCGCTGAGCTACAGCAGCTCTGTCATGTCAATCAGAACACGTATTGTTTTCTGTTCCTTTGTCCAGGAGAATCAACAATCAACATTTAAGCATGATACATTGTTTCCAGCGATTGTGGTACTGTGTATATTCATATAGGCCACCTCTGTACGATATTAAAAATGTCCACACAGAAAAATCCACACTAGATGTGCATTTTTAACCATAATACAGTGGTATTAATTTTTACAGTGCATTTCAGGTCTTGTCATGACATGTACAATTTATATAAGCTGTTGCAAGTTGGATATTGGAATATTGGAGGTTATACACTATGATGCACTACATGTCTATTGATAGATTTATCCAGGACCATACCTCGCTCCCTTTCACTCTCTCTAAAGAGGCATATTGTAGTTAAATTATGGTTTCTTAATGAGTGATTTTGGTGGAACGTCATATATTGCATGTCTGGATGAAAATGGTGAATGTCTTTAAATGATTTCTCTTTACCCCTACCCCTTTCCTGTCGTTCTGGGGGTTCTCTAGAGTTTTCTATTACGTATGCAAAATGCACCCCAAATCTCCCACCTCTCCCTAATCCACCAAGCACACAAAGACTGTTGACACTGTGTGTGCATGTTTGAATTGTGATTACACTGGAAACAGTTTGAATTTGATGTGGGTTTAAGGATTAAGGTTGTGTCCGCCTGTAGCCAAGGTGTGAAGTACTGTTGCCAGGATGCAGTGTGCATGTTTGTGTGTAAATCTGTGGGTTTTGTTTGCATAAACGTCTTTCAGGATGGAAGAGAGGTGGTGTCTCTTAAAAACATTGGATGAGAAAATAATCAACAGTACAGTAATAAAATGAGAAATATTACGAAATATGAGAAGAAATACTGTGTAAAGCACATCTTTGTAAATCAACGCTCTCCAAAAGCAACACCAGCAGATGATCTTTCAGAGAGAGGCAGTGTCTCTTTGGCCTCCCTGGAGCACATTATGTTCTCATGGAAGCCCCCTGAAGCATGTTGTGAACGTGAGGGGAGAAATAGTCGAGAAGTCATGTGAGAGTGCCTCCGTAGCTCTATGTTTGGCTTATTACTCGATGCAGTAATGTCCACCTATCATGTTTGCAACTGGTTTGTAAATCAGTCTGAATGGGTCATACTGTTTTGTAGTTGTAGTTTATTATACATTTAGTTTTGGTTGCTTGTTGTTAAGGTAAGATAAATGCTGTTCAGTTAACCCAAAAAATTGGCAAGTCAATTAAATCAAAGTCAGAACATGAATATGTTATAATATATAATATGAATATAATAACTTGAGTTTGATTTCATTTGAAGGTTCATCGTTTTCAGTTAAATTTTTTGAACTGAAAAAGATGGTGCAATGTACAGATATTTGTGTCTATGAAGGCTTTTTTGCACAAGGTCATATGAGTGTGTGTGTGTGTGTGTGTGTGTGTCTGAGAGAAAATATGCTCTGTGACTCTTGGCCCTGAAACACAAACATATCAGAGGCCACCCTCTGCCCCGATAATCCTTTCAGATAGAGGTGATACACACACACTAAAGAGAGGTAATTAATAGTGCCACAGAGCAGCTCTTATGCACAGAGGATCGGATGAAGGAGGGGTCGCTCTGTCATCTTTTTTTTGTTCCCCCTGTCAGTCTTCCTCCCTTTTCGAGCACGAGTGTGATAACAGGAGCTCAAGGTCAGGGAGGGGGGCACAGCGTATGTGCGCTGGAGGGAGGGTCTTCTAACACACCGATTTGCATGAGATATCAGCAAGAATGAAAAAGTGCAGAAAAATACAAATAGATGGATAGACGGGGAAGGTACAGTAGAGATGAAGAAAGAAACAGGTTAAAGGACAAAGTGACGAATGAACCACAGAAAGATTCTGAGGTAGTAAGAAGAAAGGAGCATTAGAAATACAGAAGGAGAAAGGGAAGTTTTGGAAATAAATGGAGGCCAAATGAAGAAATTTTACGTTTTCTGAGGAAAATATGAGTGCTACAGTTGTTACGTTATGTGATTGCTATAGTAAGTGGTTGTCAGTGGTTTTTAGCACATTGATGTGTAGTTGTTAGTGGGACTGGGAATGGAGAACCGGATCTTCTCTTAACTGTTTTTAAGTGTCTGCATTCTTCCACAGATGTGGATGGAACATCATACTAAAATACTTAGACAGCATGTCTTGAGTCTGCAGGAAAAATCAGTTTTAGCTTAGTTGTAAATTCAGTCTGAACTGTTAATGATAGGAGAGAAGCTGCAAAATAATACAAAAAATAAATCTTTTGAGTCAAATGCCAAAAGATCAGTATGATCCAGGCCAAACCAGTATGGTCTAGGTTTCAAACAAATGACTCGTATGAGCTGTTTCATTTTAATGGATCAGTTGTAAAGACTCTGGATTTCATCAGAGATCTGTTTGAACCAGTCTAACGACAGTGATTCACTCGCTGAATCAGCAGGAGATGATTGTGACTCGCTGAACCACAAGTCATAAATTTTGTCTTGTATAACGGAAAATTATAGTGAACTGTATACTATTATGTTTGCTTAAGGCCTAATTATTGATTCAAATTTTGTATGATTATTTATTTGATTTGATTTGATTTTTTTAAGGTGGCCTTAACTATTATGTACTTACGTTTTAATAAATCCATTGATACAGTGCACTTATTTTGTACATGCATGTTTTTACATTGTACTTATATTTTAAAAATACCTGCATGTAATTGCATTTCTAATTCATTTCTGTAATTACATTTAGAATTACACTGTTGACCAATCTCTTACAACTTAACCCACTCTTATACCTACCCATACCACCAAACCTGTCCCTAACCTTACCCATATCCCACCTCATTAGCAGCAAAAGTGTTTTGCAATACAACATGAACACAATAAGTACATTGTACTTATTTTTGATGTAAGTACATAGTAGATAAGGCCACCTAATATAAAGTGGGACCATACATTCTCATCCCAAGTTGCTAGGTGGTTTCTTGGGTGGTTTGTAGATTCTAGCTTAGTCGCCCAAGTCAAAAGAGCATACAAGTTTCTCTATGATATTCAAATTCTTAGATATGACTTAGATCCCTCCTTCAGTGTGTATGGGATTTTTTTCACTTTTTTTAGTGTCCACCAGGCAATCACCTGGAAAAGTAACGGCATATCTCTCCTTAACAAGCTGAATGATTTGGTGTCACTTGTGTCCATAGCGCAAGTTGCACTGAAGTTCAATACACTTGTTCAAATCAGTAACCTCTGTATTAACTTGATTAGTAAGTATCACTAATAAACGACAGTGGATGGCAAACCTTGCATTGAGTTTGGGGGGCTAGAAAGAGTGAGTGAGTGATGGAGAGAGAGAAGGGTGGGCGTCTGGGGGGTAACCGGTGGTGTCTTTGTGATGGAGATGGAGCAGTCGCCAGCGCTGAGCTGATAATGACCAACGGTTCTAATAGCATTCACCCCTCCACCCTTTAACCACTCAAGCGGAAAACGGACAGAAAGAAAGAGAGAGAGTGTGTGGAATGGAGGAAAATATGTTTAAAATATGACGTGGTGGGACCGCGTGTGTCCCGGCTTATTGAAAACGCACGTATATGAGTGTGTGTTTGTCTCGACGCCCCCTTGAGGACACATTAAAGACAATATGTGTGTAGTTTTCGGCCACGCACACACGCGCACGCAAACACGCTCGCACCAGTCGGCTTACCCTCTTTATCGTGCTGTATTTACGGAGGGCGATGGAGCGTGAAACGCCTTTGGGCTCTCCGGGACCAGATGGAGAAACACACACACATACACGCACTCCAAAGGCAGCCTTATCACCAGCACATTACTGGGATTTATTGATACCCTCTGTAATCACTCCCTTATATCACCTCAAAGAAAAGAAAAATATACAGATTATATGAATGTCTGTGAGAAAGAGTGGGAGGAGGAGACAGAGTGGATGATGGGAGAAAGAGAGTGTGAATGAGGGTCATCATTCACTAGCGAGATGGGAAATGTAAGTGAGGTTTATAATAACAGAACGGAGTGAAAGGAATTGAGTGAAGTCGAGGAATATAACGCAGGTAGTCGGCTGACATATGCGCAAACAAAGGGCACAGCTGAGGAACCGAGGTGCTTTCACACACTTGACATGAGCGGAGTTGTATTTTTGTGTGTTTAGAGAGTGTTCTGGTACTGGTTGCGCCCGGATTCGTGTCACCCTAATTGGAGGTTTCTTGACCTTGCTGCTTTAACTTGTCACACAGTAGATGCTTCTGCTACAAATGGACATATCCACCTTTACTGTTACGAGTACAGCCTGCTACAAGATGTTTAGTAGAATGTCAAAGCTGCTCTTTTTTTGTACTATAAAAGTGGACCAGGGACGGTCAAAAATGGACAAAAATGCACATTAAAGATGCATGAAATAGTCCATTGTTGAAAAAGAGCAGCAGCATCATTCTGTTAAAATTCTCCTTTTGTGGTCCACAGAAGATAAAAACTTATATGGTTATGCAATGCAGAAGTGTGAGTAGAGTCAAACCAAAAATTATTCAGACACCAGATATAATTTTTGATATATTTTTACTAGTGGGTTCAGGACACTATAGTTCATTTTGTAAGTGAGGATAGCAAAATAAAGTAAACTGTAACATATTATACCCAAAAAGTCTTCATACAGTGGACTACCAGTAAAATTGATAACAATTTGGGACCAAAAATTATTCAGACACTTTGACCTGACCATGTTTTGCTTAAGTGTTTTTCTTTAATTGCTAATGCAAACATTTGTACACCCCAGACTGAACAAAATTAAGCATTGCTTGGTAACGGGTTGACCTAAATTGGTATTATCTAATTGTGTACTTAAATTTAACAGCTGACAGCTATTCAACCTAATTCATTACCTTTCTATCAAAGTTATCTGACATTATCAAGATGGATTTGTTCTGACACAGTTTAAATCTGTGTTCTTGTTATATTTTATTGCCATTTTCTACACTATAGTGAATAAACTGTGATAATGTGAGAAATGTTGAAGGTGTCTGAATAAATTTTGGTTTGACTGTAAATAATGACAGAATGGACATTTTTAGGGCAATTATCCCTTTGAATGAATGATTCTCAGCTAGGGGGCCAGGGCCCACTAGGGCTCCTCAATCTTTCAAGAGGGCCTCAAGATGATTTAAATGAACAATCTTTTTAAATCTATCCCCTGTTTCTTTGAATAAAATATACAAGGTAAACTATTAAAAGTGTGATTGTTCTTAAAGTTGTATTAAAGTTGTAATGAGCATATATTTTATAATTATGCCAGTCTGTAAAACATTTTATTGGGTTGAAATTGTGTCAAATAGTTAAAAAAAAAAATGTTATTCTTTAAGTCGCAAACTACCAAAAAAATCATGCAAGTTCATTGCTTAAAAAATTTAGAGACCCGAAGAACATTCAGCTCCTAAAATGTCTGTAATCCTGAAAATTAAAATCCTTTTTTCTTTTTTCTTTTTATTTAAGGAAATCAAGTACACCTGTAGAGTAAAATAAGTTTTCAAAACATAAATAGGGCTAGGGGGCCTTAAAATATCATTAAGTGTTAATGAAGGAACTGGTTCACTATTTTTCTTTTTACAGAATTTAAATATATGATTTTATATTGCTGCATTTTTGTTCTTAAAGGAGGCAGTCAGACTTTGCCATGTTAGTAGTGTAGAAGTTGGTAATCAGTCTCCTTTCTAAATCCATGTCTTTTTGTTTCTTTGTAGACCACTAATGGACCCCTCTGCAAAGCCAGTGATCCAGAGGCCTGCAGGAAACCTGCCTACTGTTATAACTGCTCTAAGAAAGGACACTTCGGCCATGTAAGTGAATCAGCCTTGTCCAAAGGTGTCACATAGCTGGTTGCTTTCCACAATGGATAACAACTGCAACAACGAAACAGAAAAATATTTTAAATGCCACATTTCCACACACACACACACACACTAAAAAAATAAGAATCCCTCATTGACCTCTATGTTGATCCTTGTCACTTCAAACAAAACAAATTGTACGAAATTAGGAAACTCAGAAACACTTCAGTCAGATTTTTCACAAATCATATTCTCAGTGTACAAATCTTTTTGCCTATATTTTATATTCATGCACAACACGGTAAATGAAGCACAGCTATATACAGTGGGTACGGAAAGTATTCAGACCCCCTTAAAATTTTCACTCTTTGTTATATTGCAGCCATTTGCTAAAATCATTTAAGTTCATTTTTTTCCTCATTAATGTACACACAGCACCCCATAATTCAGAAGGTTTTAATTTTTTTTATTTTTTTATTTTTTTTTTTACATATTTTGGTATACTTATATTCAGCAAGGATGCTTGAAGTTCTTTAAAAGTGACAGTAAAGAATTTTACATTGTTACAAAGAAAACTATTTAATAAAAATATTAAGCAATACAACCATATTCAGCATTTTAGAATGATTTCTGAAGTATCATTGAACTGGAGGAATGACTGCTGAAAATTTAGCTTCGACATTACAGGAATAAATTACATTTTAAATATAAGCATTAAAATGGAAAATAGTTAACTTTTCACAATATTACTGTTTTAAATGTATTTTGGATCAAATATATGCAGCCTTGGTGGGCATAAGAGAGATTGTGAAAGACAGATGTGCCTTCACTGATGTCCATGATTTGAGATGTTAAAGTGTGTGTTTTGTGCAGGAATGCACCGAGAAGAGAATGTATAATGGGACATATCCCACCCTGCCATTTCTTTCCCGTTACGACACAAAGAATGACTTCCATTACCGGGAAATTCGAGTTAAAAAGCAGGCCAGAGGTTTGTTAGACTGTTTCTGACAAGTTGAATTGATAAAAGCTGATCATACTAGAAACCTAAAGATTTAATGACACGTGTCTCTTTCAGAACTTAAGCAAGCTGGATTGATTTCACCTGACAGAGCTGTCATTACATATACCCCCCAACCACCCAGGAAGAAACAAAAAAACAGCCACAAACAGTCTCCATACCCATACAACACTCACACCAACAACCAGAACACGCCGAAGAGACGCATCGCGCACACACCCAAACACACATACTTCAACGTCAAGCAGAACTCAGAAACGCCAGGGAACCACGGCAAACACACCCCTAAGAGCAAGTTTAAACCGCAAGATCAAAGCCAGAATGAAGCCAAAAAGAAGAAAAAGAAAACACAATCTGAAGTTGTTTTAGATGAAGATGCAGACTTTCGTAGAGGTTGCAAAAAGAGCCCTCACAAGACAAGAGACGTTTCATCACCTCGGAAAGCCAATGTGAAGCCGAATAAGCCCTTTGGAATGGAAAAGAACAATAAAAAGGACAAACTATCGAAAAAGAAGGAGAGGAAGTGGCAAAAGAGAGAACGAAAAGCTGCAAAAGATTCTTCCATGTATCCTTCCGATGAAAACCTTTTTCAGATTAAGCAAAGAAAGGTATGAAGATGTATTTTAAAAAGGCAAATTGTGTGAATGGGACGTCAAGTGATTTAAAGGATTCACCCTCTACTGGTGGTTGCTTTTGGTCCATCTTCTTATTTGTATACAGTATTACTGCTTTTTAGGTTGTTCTTGGAAGAAAAATTCTACGCAAATCAGACCCTCTCACCCAAATACAGTTAATTTCTCAGTGCTTGGCTGTAATGTAATGTTTGACATTAAAAAGTGCATAATTTTGGGAAAGATTTAATGTTTATCAAATTTGGGTATTTTAAAAGCAGGTGTCCAGCTTGTTACATGACAAGTGTATAGAGTTTCCTATTTTGTGTACATGCTGACTTCTGTAACATTGTGATTAAATTAAAGTCTGTTTGTATTGATATCCTGTTTGAGATATTGTGTATTCATTTTTTTTGTAATGAATATTCAGCTTTATTTTAAGGTAAAATATTTAAAATCCCAGCTTTATTTGCAATGAAAACTGATAGGATGCTTTTCTAAAAAGTATGAACACTGTCTTTGTGGCACTATAACAGCATTCCTCTGTTTATTTTAGCATCCCTCCAGCACAACCAATGGCATGACGTTGGGGGCGGGGCTATCAGTTTGGCCAACCAATGGCAGATGTGGGAGTGGAAACTAGTTTAAAAAGTATTAGGTTTGCGATTTTGTTTTTAAAAAAATGAATTACAGAAATTCTGTGCTTGTCTCTTTACGTTTTCCAGACAGGATGTGCATTAATATTATGTTGATACTTTATGAGAGTGTCATTCAATCATTTGCAACACTTGATTCATTCAGAAATGAAACTCCACTACAGTCTTTTGCTTGGAGATGCTGCATTGGCTTTGTTTAGAACTGATTGGTGTATCAAAATAGATATTAAGATAATATAAGCTTCTTTTTTATTGAACTCGCAACCATGCTCTTGATTTCATTTCTATTAAAAAGCTCTCTGTTGAACTAAAATCTCACTTTCGGACAAAAATATGTGCTCCACCTTTCTCCTCTTTCCTGTGATTATCTTCTTGAGCTCCAGGTGTTGTGTTTAGGGCTGTTCAGCTTTAAAGTAATGACAGACAGCAAACAGCTGGTTAAGTGGTTAAACCGTTGCCATTTCCTTAGTTTCCCTATTTTTCACTTTTTAAGATCCCACATTCCTTCTCTTTATTCCATACAAGATCTCTTTTTGCTTTCATGGGTTGTGTTTTTGCTAAGAACAATATTTGAGGTCTAAAAGAGTCCAGATTTGTTCAATTGTTCTGTGAGTGCGTGTAATGTTGTTCTGCTCCGCAGGGCCGTGTGTGTGTGTGTGTGTGTGTGTGTGTGTGTGGACATTTATGTGAAAGTGTGTGCCATCAGGCTTTTATTGCCTGAAACGGGGGGGGGTTTCTTCAACAGTATAAGAGATGATTTCTTAAGCCAAATATAAATCCAAGACCAAACATGGCAGTGCAGCCCACATGCAGAAAGAAAAATCGGATTTTTTCCCCTCAAGATTTGCAGACAGTATGAAAACTCAAGGGTCCCCAGGGCTTGGCTGAGATGTGTAAGAGAGATGCAGTACAATGTGAGGGAAGGAACATGCCACTGAGTCACACACGATCACTCACACTGATTTACTCTTGACCAATTCCTTAGAAATGATTAATCAGACTTTTTACTAGTATAGTTGGCCACAACACATTCCCAGCACTTTGACTCAACATGCAGTCCTCAAAACATTGACAGTCATCCTCTTAAGTGTAATTAATGAACCATACTCATCACCATTTCACTTTCAAGTACTCTTTCTAGTTTCTAAATTTGCCTGCAGGTCTGAATCTTGCCTCCACCACTGTGGTCCATTTCTGTATGTGACATGTCTTTTTCATTAGTCCAGTTCTCAGTGCAGCCCAACTAGGGCTTAATAAAATCTATATATAAATGGGCACAGGCTAAAAAAGCATATAAATATATATACGAATATAGCTTTAAAACCACGAAAGTAATAAAATAATGAAAAATGGGAAGAGTTTGTGGTTGCAATAGATGCTCGGAGGTTTTTTTTATAGTATTTTTTATGGTCCCTGCATATGTGCTGATTGCTTGCCAGAAAATGTCATTCAATGATTAGCATGGCCAAGTTTATGGAAACCATGACAGAGAAGGAGTATGATTTACAAACAACAACAACAACAACAAATTTGGTTGAACTGGTTTGAACTGAAAATGTAATTGAGATCCCCAAACATTTCTATAGCAGTGTTGTTTTAGTAATTATGTATTATTATAGTATTCATTAATATTTTGAATGAGCTTTTATTATTTGATCATTTTTGTTTTAGACATTTTTAGCCATTGTTAGTTTTTTAATAGATTTTTAAATTAATATATTTAATTTTCCTTTGAGTAATTTTATCATCTAATATTTTATTTTATTTCAGTTTCCAAAAAAAAGAAATTTTTTTAGTAAACGTTAGCAACACTGTTCTGTAGATTGGACTGAAATCACAAATGATCAGTTATAAATGCTGTTCATAATTATTATTTTAAACTCAGTCCCCTCAAAACATCTAGACAGATAATCAATTTATACAATAAAGTAAACAAGCAATCACCTACCTTTTTGTGGTGCAAGTTAAATAAAAAATATAACTGCACACTGTTTATTAGTTACCAACATTTTGGCAAAACAAGTATAGCTTTTGTCAAGGTATGATATAATCAATTCATTATACAATAAATAATTTTTTCCCCCCAAAATCTTGTACTTTCATAATGCAATGTAATATAATATAATATGCTGATGACATCCTGATGGCTGGGATGATGATAAATTCTTCTGTTTTATAGAACGTTATATGTGTTTGTTGCTCAGTTGTCTCGAGTGAGACATAAATGTGGCATAAATTGAATTGATTCATTTTCAGCATCCTTGAAATGGAAGAAATGCTGGTAGTACGAAGCCTTTATTGCATCAGTCTTAAATCACATTGGTCATGTCAAACTTTTATGTTTTCACTGCCTAGTAAAAAATCCATAAGAAATAAGGCCTGGGTTTTTAACACACCCAAGTGAACTGAGACTTTTAGTGATCTGCACAGCATGAAGTTATTATTTGTTGGGATTCTTTTTTTGTCAGCTTGTATCTGCACAAGTTCTTTGACCTATGATGTACTAATGACCACAAAATATAATTTTCTCTGGTGTTATTTAACCACTAGAAACCATTTTCTTGGTACCTATAGCACATACACTTGAAAAGAGAAGCTGAACTTGCAGTTATTTGCCATTTTGCTGCTATGGCTATACATTTAAAGGAATAGTTCACTCAAAAACGAAAATTTGCTGAAAATGTATTTAGCCTCATGCCATCCAAGTTGTAGATTTTGTTTGTTTGTTCATCGGAACAGATCAAATGTATTACATCACTTCACCAAAGGATCCTCTGCAGTGAATGGGTGCAAATGAGAGCTCACACAAAGCAACAGTTTGAAGTTAAAATTGTCTTAATGATGAATTTGTTTATTAGAAAATTGCAGCTTTTTTGCTTCGTAAGATGTTAATTGATGGACTGGAGTCATGTGGATTACTGTGATGTTCTTATCAGCTGTTTGAACTCTCATTCTGACGGCACCCATTCACTGCAGTGGAACCATCGGTGAGCTGCTACATTTCTCCAAATCTGTTGATTTGATTAAGAAACAAACTCACCTAATGTACATCTTGGATAGTCGAAGGGTGGGTAAATCTTCATCACATTTTTATTTTTAGGTGAACAATTCCTTTACAAATCTCAGTAGGTTTTCCAGATATTTTTTCCTACTGTATAACAAATACTGTATATTCCAACTTCCTTCTACTATTTGACACTGCATTTCGCATAGGGAATATTTGTACAGTAGTAGAGAGACCCGGAGTTACAGGGTTCCCACGGCCATGGAAAACCTGAAAATAACATATTTAAATTTTGATTTCCAGGCCTGGATATATCATGGGAAGTTTAACAGTGCTATACAGCATTTTGTTTTCTATTTATGCTCCTCTCTCAATCATTTCATCAGTTAGACATTAGTGCTTGTGTAGAGTAAACTTGCCCTCAAGCTAGTGTGATAACATCAGTCTCGTCTGTCTGTTCATGGTCTTATTGAAGATATTTGCACACTAATTTGTACTCTAGTATAATTCATTTGAATCTGTCTAAAAAGTAATGAAAATTTGTTTTTATGAACTCTGGTGTCCCACTGCTAATGTCACAACACAGGCTGTGATCTCTGTTGACAATCCTGTATTTGTATTTTGCAATTGCATCCTCTCACCAGTGTCATTCCACCTTTAGTACTTTAGCAAAAAGATTTTGGGTTGTTTGATTTAGTACACTTGGGAGACGTCCACCACTATTATGTTATTTACTGTCCATACTAATCCACAGCGGGCATGCAGAATGCAGGGCTCAGAGCTGTTATTAAGTATGCTTAGTACTGACATTCCTCTCCAAATCCCCATACTTTTGAATGAGTCTCTGTCGAGTTTCTAGCTATCTGTTTCTGTCTTAAAAACGGTTTACGAAGACTGTCAGGGCCTTGTCTGCATTTAACATGACTCAGATATTTCCTCCAAGCAGTCACGATAGATTTCTGTTTATTTACCATCCAGAAGGATGAGCAAATATGACTAGTGACCATGTACCACACTATCCGCATGCATACACACGAACGGATACATGTCATCTAAATCACTGCTCTGCAACAGGTGTGTAGTCGACAGTGTGCGGATTGGGAATGTGTCCATTTTATGCTTGTAAATCAGCGCAAAGCCCCGCTATACCGCTTCTTCCTCCTCAACCAGTGCTTCATACTGTAGTTTCCAAGCAAAAATTTTCAGAGAGTGCTCTCATTGCAGAACACAACAAACAATGTCAGTGGTGGTCACTCAGTCTATGTATATTTAATAAAAATGGAACTGAATTAATTTCACTGCCAGTAAGTGAAGTTTTTAACTTAATAGTGATCACTATGATGATGTGCACTGTTTGGTTTTGAATCACATCTAAGTATATAATCCACTATCCTTCACTTTCTTTTGTACAAACTTCAAACTTCTGTGACAGACTCAAAGTCTTACTGTAACTCAATATCAGATTATCTTCCATCTCAACCAAACTCTGGCTTGAGATGACTGTTATGACCCCAAAATGGTCTAGGGAACATAAAACCCAACAAATACAGAGATTAATCCACATTTCCCTTCATTTCACAAAAGAAGTGCACATAATTGTATTTAAAGGGGTCATATGATGCGATTTCACGTTTTCCTTTCTCTTTGGAGTGTTACAAGCTGATTGTGCATAGATAAGATCCCTGAAGTTGCAAAGACTAAAGTCTCAAAACCAAAGAGATATTCTTTATCAAAGTTAAGACTCTGCCACGCCCCCTAAAACGGCTCGTTCTAACACACCCCCACATATCTACCTTACTATGTGGAAATATTGCTGTACTCACAGATAATAGAGTATTAATACAATAAAAGGTAACTAGAGTACACTTTCATGTTTCTTAAAACACTTTTTTAAAAGTGCACTTTGTATTAGTTAAATTGAATGTTTTACTTTAAAGTAGATTTTAAATCGTTATGTTTAACGTTTTGGCATGCTTTAAAGACGTACACTTATTTTGA